GCTCCAGAACTCACCCTAAATCATAGTTCCTATTCAGGTCGACACCCTCACAGCAGATGTCTTCCAAATATCCAACTGAACCGGTACAGTTCTCAGGAGCGCGGTTTTTTCGCCACTGTCGAATCTGAAACAAGGAGCGATGCAGAGGACCAGGCAAAACAACACTGTCTATTTCACAGGAATGCGCCATGCCATCAACTACCACTCGAAATAAGAAGACGATTGAAGACCTATTCGATCTTAGCAGCAAGTTGCAGTGACCAGCAATGTTCATGAAGGCAAAAATCACGACTAAAGTGGGTTTCAAGATTTTTTTCTGGGATGAACTTGTGGTCCTCAAGAATAGCTTAAGGGACGCCAACGGCCTAGATAGCGAGTAGTAAGGGTCCCAAAACCGACTTAGCCTATGCACACACCCAAAGGCGGATGAGTTTTCACGGCGCAGTAGAGGCTGTAGAGGTTGCACCATTGGCTTCTGGGAGAATGAAAGAGCCGACACAATAAGGAAATGTTAACCAGAAGCGGATTTATTGAGAAATCTCTAAACAATTGCTGAAGATGTTCACCTTCTTCAACAGGAGATATAAATAAATGGGTATCATGACGATGGTCCTTCAAGTAATAATGTCAGTGCACTAAACTATAAACGAAAGAAACTCACAATTGCTCTCGTTGATGTCCGCGAAAATATAAAGCCATCCGGGTTTAGCACCGGAAATATGTAGATGTCCAAGGAATCTACATAAGCAGTGATCTTATCATCTATTTTGTACTTTTGCACCAGCTAAAAATAATAGTTGTATATAATCAATAATAATAAAACAATCCTTACTATATATAAACCACAAATGTCCGTTTTTCGGTATGTTTGTAAATAAATAAATAAGAAAATAAATAAAAGTCTAAGAGCCTCTGGCAAACGGCTTTCAGCGATGCAGAAAACGCAAGTAGCCAGAATAAAACGGAGGTGCTCTATTCAAAAATGATACTCAAACACCGTAATAGCGCTCGATTCGTTCTACCGGGACCGGAGTCCAGGTGAGAGAGCCTGCCCGCTTTTACAGTTCCCTTACTAGGGGTGTGGTGCGATTCACGCGTCAATATAATAAGGTCTTCGGACAAAACGCGCTAAAATATCATCCCTACCATCATAACGGAAGAAGTAAGAACTTATAAGTAGAATAAGTAAAGAAATGACCAACTATGCACATTTACAGAGGGATTGCATCTTCTAGGATCAAAAATTTTGAAGTTATTACTATTTTGAACGCTTGACAAGTAAATTGTTGACCTATGAGGTGAATTTTCAATCTCGAAGGGGCTTTTTTGCCATAGTAAAAAGGTTTGCACTATTCATAGTGAAACCGTGGGCTACTGCAAACTTATTTGGTCCATTCCAACAGAAAGGTACTGAAACGATGCTGCGTGCGCGAAGAGCTTTAATGGGGTCACGCGTGAATCGCGCCCCCCCCCCCTTAC